TTAAAGCTGTATGTATTTTTTAATACCATATAATAAAAATAATTGTCGAAAAATTTTTTTTGTTTTTGGGGTAAGCACTTAGGGGTAAAAAAATTGTTAGAAACCTATTCTAGTTATAGACCTACTGAATATGCATATATAAAATTCATCAATCGGCCGAGCTGTTTCGGAGGAGAATAAACACGAAACCTGTGACACGAGAATTTTATATATTAGATTGGTTTGCTATATGAAATTACCTTTCCAAACATTTCAGTCAACTTAATATCCAGAAGCTTAGTCAGATGCCGCTTGAAATACCTTTCAGGGCTCATTTTATCTGAAAACAAAATAGAGTGTGAATACTTTCAATGAGTAATGAAAAAAAGTCCATACATCTACAGTATTAAAAAGAGTATAAGATTTTTTGTTTATAATGTCTGAATTCAAATTGATTTTAAAATCCTTTCACCTGTAGATAATGGCATTATAGGCATCAAACGTAGACCCACATAACATTTTATATTATAAAATTATGACTGTTAGAATTGTGTCCGTATATCGTTAGTCTGTGCGTAATCTTGGAAATGAACCAATTTGGATGTGGTTTTTACTAATGTATTGTGGTTGGCTCACATAAAATTTAGTGTTTGTTTTATTCTGCTTATAAACAAAAAAACTTATACAGGTATGATATATGAATAAAAATATTTTTTATTAAAGCTTTGGAGTTATAATAAATACGTAGCCTCGAGAATTCATTTTTATTACTTCTATTCATCTATAATGCAACTGAATAATATCCCAATTCAGTACAAATCACCAATCGAAGGTAATCATAAACCATATAAACATATGTCAACATATGTATATATGAAACAACAATTGTGTATAATGTGTACAAAAGTATATTATGACACAAAACACACCAGCAAATACATACACCACAAATGGACATCGTAAATCTGACAATTTAAATTGTTGCTAGTTTCTACTATCACAATTTATCATGTCAGATTTTTATTATTATGCTCTACGGTCGAAACGACCAATGCCACAAAGTCCCACATTTCGTTCCTGCGTACAAAATGTTTCATCTACGAACGAGAAGGAACTATTGTTGCGATGCCTTATAATGTGCCATGTATGTGAGCACATAATACTTTTGGTACACAATTATCACCTCCAATTATAAATCTTGGTGAAGAAATATATGAAATTAGCTTATAATTATAAGCTATTTCAACACCAAAATTTTTATTTTCATATTACTAGTATTGTGATATTAGAACCTCTTTCAAAAGTATTTGAAGGAGATTGGAAATATAAGTATGCATTAGTATCACTACCTTCACTATAAGTTTTACTCTTTACTACTTTATGTTTATCCTTTTCTTCTGTTGTAGCAAATTCATTAGCTTCGGCCACGACTTCTATATCAGTTTCTTCAGGATATAATTCTCGGTAACGGGCAATAATTGATAACGCGCTACCGACAGGTTTACCCATCATAGCATTCCGAATACGTTGACGAATTATGTTTTTAATACAACGCGTCTTGTCTATAGTGAGAAGATTGTCATTTTCGAATTTATGTCTGATGGTTTTCACAATATTTCCGAGCGCATACTCCAAGCGTCCCGCCACTTGCTGTGTGGGTACTTCGTCAGGTTTTAAAATTGGATATCTCTTGTCAGCTACATAATGTTCTGCTTCAACTTTGGCACCATATTTAAAGCCAGGCGTAATTTTCTTTGCATCGCCAGGTTTATATTTGGTGACTTTAGTTGGCTGAAAGTTTTTTTGTTTGTTTTGGATCAGTTTGCTCTGCATGATTCTCTGGGCTACAAAAGGTTTCACATCCGTGAATCGTGCAGGCCTGTCTCTGAATGACTGATTAGAAGTCGAAGCTTTCCCACTGTAGCCTTGATCGTGTCTCCTAAAAGAGTTTTGAGTTGCAGGTATGAAGGTGAATTTTTCTGATGTATTATAATCATTATTAAACTGCCTCGCGTTGTCTTTGCGAGGTACACGTTTGTATGGCGGCGTGGACCAAACATCGTCCGGCGTGGGTCGCTTCTTGGCAGATTGTTTGCCGTAATTAGACCGAGAGCTGTCGGAATCTTGGTACAAATGAGAGTAGTTATGATTGCTGGACTGAAATATAACATACATATTTATTATTCAACATTTCTATAACCTGTTCATTTTACAGAAACATATTTCTTGTAAAGGATATAAGGTTACCCTATCAATAAATATGATAATCAAACATTTTGTTTTTTTTACTAGTAATAAATATCTGCACAACTACCAATTTACTGCTATCAGCAAAGCATTTGTTTTTAGCTATTCATGTGTGACAATCCAGCTCTTCCTCTCAGCTGCTAAATGGTCATTGTGGCATATGGAATACTGGCAATGAGGCATAATTGCTAACTTTAGTTACAGTACCTACTAATTTAGCAAGTAGCTACAAAGCCACATGATCCACTCTAATATATTCCCTGTCCCATTAAAACGGTGATGGAAATCACGACCCTTAGACCCTTAGCACCTTCAATCTAAATTTGTGTCGTATAGGTCAGGCTGATGTTGGCCTTCAGCTGCTTCATAAGTACTTTGGTCTGCCTTGAATACTCATCCCCAGATGTAAAGGCAAACTTTAGAGAAGTCTGTTTCTTCTACATTGCAATTTTAAGTGAATGTATATCAGGTCAGAACTGAATGTTTTTACCCATATTTATATTACATATATTGAGTTTGTTAAATTCAATTTGATTTGGTCAAATTATAATTTTGTATAATTTATAGACTTACATATGTTATAAATCATGTAAGACTTACCTGACTGTGGTATTCATGTTGAACTTTCTGCTCCAACAACTCTCTTTTACGACGGAGTAATTTCAGCTCCATATCCAAAACCTATACAAAATTGTCTTATTAGAAAATGCTACTAGAAACAATACTAGGAATAGGATTGTAGATATGACCCCATTGCTAGCAATATAGTATGTCAGGTTGACCTCCATGCTGTTCCCTCTGAAAATCATCATGTATATAAACTCTTAGTGAATTTATCATGACGGACTAACTGACCTGATATCATGCCTATATCCTATCATCCTGCACTGATGCCCTGCCAGCATAAACCGTCAGCACAGGCGGGAACACTATTCCATTATACAAAAAAATAATAAGGATAAACCATGAACCAAAATAATTCTTATTACAAAACAAAGTTTATCATTAAACAGTGTTTACAGTTTAGACTATAAGCAAATCACAGTTTTAATAGTAATAATGCCCATTATTTGTAGTTTAATATTCACAAGTACAATTTCAATCAAATATAATACAAAAATGGGCTCTTTTTCTCTGACCATTTATTTTTACTAATAATTAAGTATAAATGTACTAAATTATGTCATATGAATATTTTTTTTAGCTTTATGTGTAGACTAATTTGTGTATTCTCTTGGATAATGCCACTAAATTTGTGTTATATTTTTTATATAACTACCAACCTTAATAGATAGTAACTACACATTGGGAGTAAGGGGATTGTTAATAATGTGTACTAATAACTCTATTGCTAGCCATTGCTTTGAACCCCATGGACATTTTACATTTACCATGTCCATGGGGTTCCCACTGAAAACCATCATGATAAATTCCACAAATTTGCCATGATGGGCTAAATGACCAGACCTCATGATCATATTATCATCCTACACTGGTGCCCCGCCAGCATAAACCGTTTGCGCAGGCGGGTTTCCTAGTGAATAAGCTATGCCGGGCCAACTAAGCTAACTTACCATCCTCTTTAATCCAGCCATAGAATACCGTTAGTTCAAGCAGGTGAATCATACCATGTTCATCCATTAACGAGAAAATAAATGGCAAAACATAATGCTTACTTGTAGCTGCGATTCTTCTGCATTATTGGATCGATCGGAGCCGTCATTCCGGTAGCCCCTTGACGAGTTACGTCGCATTTTCTTTATCAATTTACTAAATAACAAAGTATCTATACACAATTCGTTATGATTGTACACAATGAAAACCCTTGATGACCTATCCTATTACTGCCAATAATATAAAATAAGTTTATATATTATATAATAAAATACCGCGAAAGACAATTAGAAATTATAAATAATTTTACTCAGATATTAGGGGAATAGTTAAAATAAAAATTATCAGCAAAATGCAATATGTCATTAAACTATGGAACTAGGGATGTGAAAAAAATGAAGTTGCCATATCATACCGCAAACGAACTAGATCTGAAGAGCGCCCCCGAAAATGAGTTACACGATCTAGTTCCAAGATGTTAGCTTTTTAAACTGATAAAATAGAAATCTTGCTAAAATATAAAACCTACATTTATATTGTAAAAGAAATAAAAACGCTTATAGGGCTAGAAGTCGTGTCACGGTCTATTATGCACAAGAGTATGTACATCAATAATAAAAGAAGTTAATGTGATAGAATTGATTTTAATTTTTGATAAAATCATCGATTATAAGCTCACCTCACTGGCCAGTGCGATTCTCTGCTATCCACGTTGACAAGTCTGTATGTGTATGAGCGATGGCCCCTTTTCATTGGATTTTAATATCCATAGTTACTAATTCTAGGTGGCAACAGTCCGGCCGGTCAGAGTTTGCGTTTCTGACAGGTCGGGAATTAATGGTCGATGAAACTTTGAACTGATGCATGACATACAATTTACGGCACAATTTAAAATTTTTATTTGCCTTATTAACGAGTGATAACATTAAAAATTTAATTATTATTCCAACTTATAATAAACTTATTAATTTTGGGCTACAATTATTAACCATTAACTACTTAACAAATATAAAACCAATATTTTTTTAAAAGTCAAACCACACAAACTGCGCATTTACAACGTTATGTCAACTGTTTGTTTTAGAAATGATGTGACCAAAAAGTATCACCATTCCAGACTTATCAGAATTCCTAAGTCCCGTCCTTTTATCCTAAACCAGGTGGCTCCTAAAGAAGTCTACAACATTGCGGATGCTATGGAAGAAGAACGAAGAAAGATCGAAGCTTCTGCTCCAAAGAAACGACGTGCCTCCTCATTGCTAAGAGCTGCTCAGCATTGATATAATTCTCATTAGTTAGCTCCTTATTATGCATTATATTACGATAATGAAGGAATTTCTTTAACGTCCTTAAATTTTTATAGGACTTAAATATTCTGCAAATATTGCGTTTTATATAAAAAAGTGTTTAAAATGGGTGTTCTGACATAAGTCGCAGTATACTTCTTGGCCTGTTAATAGTGGATAAATTTTAGTATAAAATTATTTTTTATTTCAAATAAATGAAATTCCTTTTCTTATCGTTAAATAGTATTCTCTAGCAGGGAATGTAGATAATCTGATAGTTACTTATATATAAGATTGATAAGATCCTTATTTCCTCAAGAGGAGTTGATACCCAAATAAAATCAACTCGCCTTGAGGAAATAAGGGTTATGACAAATAATTACATCTAATTTTTTTTTTCAGGTTGAGGAAGAAATATCGAACACTATTGAGCCACCAAAATAGTTAAATTACAAATGAAAATATTCAACATAATACTCGACCTCATTTGGTGGGAGCCATTCAAATTAAAAGAACATAATACTCACTGATTAAAATGAAATAAAAGCACTAAAACAAAGTTTAAATATTTATTTCTTTTAACACCTATACACATATAGCGACTTACAATAAAAATCAAATATTCTATTAACATAGATCATAATCCGATAGAGGAAGGATAATGACACTAGCATTAGGTACTGAAGAAATAAAACATATACTTGTATCTTAGTTCTCTTCTTCTGAACCGGTACATTCGTCTAATATAATACCTTCTGACATTAATGCTAGAATATCCTGATCATCCAATTCTTCATAATCATCGTCATCGTCGTCATAGTCATCATTGAAATGTTCCTCGACGTCAAATTCCTTCACATTAGGTATTGCTTTTACTACTGTTTTGCTTGTAACCGATTTTAGTTGTTCATTAGATTTAGTTTGATCAGATTTTACCTGTGAATCTACATTTGTTTTAATATTTTTTGGTTCTTTAGATTTAACTATTTGCTTGTCTTGCTGATTAATAGAATTCGTCGTAGTTTTGACCGATGTCTCTTTCGTAACACTATTAGTATTCTCATGTGTTTCCTCTTCTACTGATTCTACCTTAACTACTTTTATAAAGGCGGTATTTTCTTCTTTTTCTTTACGGTCTTCTTCTATAAACGCAGTATTCTTTATTTCAACTCCAGCTTTTTTTGCTGAGGGTTGTTCTTTAGCAGCTTGTTTCACAGTTTCAGCAGGGAACTCTTCTTTAACGACAACTGCAGAGTAGACTTTTTTTATTTCAGCTCCACCATTTTCATTTTGTTCGCTATTTTTTTCTTCTGTTGCTACTTTTCTATTTGTAACTATAGATTCATCTTTAGCAACTACCTTTTTAGCATTACTGTCAGAAGTAGGTTCACTTTCATTGATATTTGACACTGTTTTGTACTTTGGCATTGTGTCATTGTAATCTGTCTTAAGGCTGTCTGGATACTGAGTGAAATCATGGTTCGGAATCACAGTTATTATGGATGAACCTGAGAAAAAAACACGAATAGCTTTAAATAAATAGATAAGATAGTATAGTACAGTTCGTAATTGGCGTGACTACAGTGTAGTCAGTAAACAGATACAAAAGTTAGATTGAATAAAAAAAGATATACTATTATCATTATATACTACATTATAATATATATATTTCAAATTTAGTCCCTGTGCTGAGTGTAATAATATCTAATATTTAGGTTAAATATTGTTCTAACTTTTGTTGTTACAGGCTTACTCTTATTTCGGCTGAGCTGGTAGTGCAGCATGCACTACCAGCTTAATTGTTCTATTTGTTATTACACAATTTTGTATGTATAATTTTTATATCTGTGCCTTTTGTACCTTTCGCAATGTCTTCACGAAGGTGCACTAACTTTAATGATGATTTTTATTGTAACTGGCTAATCAGATATGTATTTTATATTCTAAATTTGTATTTGAATTTATAGTTCTTTTATATTACATTCTTGTTTTTAATACTTCAATTCCTTCTTTCTATTCTGTTCAATTGTCAGTAGTCTATATTAATATATATTTTTCTCCATTTATCTAGTCTTTTTTCTTATTACGTGTATAAACTACAACAATTTTTTAATGAGAGCATTTCTAAAATGCGAATTTTGTGAAAACAAATATGAAACTATTTTTTTTAATAATAGTATATTAATAATTAGCGTATACTATAATAGTTCTCATCAAATATAAATAATCTTTATTCAAATAAATTTAATATACGTATTTTCGAACAGTATTTTTAATCTACTAGCATCATTAGGCAAGTTAATTGGCTGTTGCCAAAATTAACAGTAACCCTGATGTTACTTACCACAACGCAGATCCGTGGCAGAGCATAATGCATCGAAGTCCTGTATAGTCTTCACACGGCCTTCAAATGTCTTCGGAGGGGACTCGGCACGTTTGAATGAAATGAAGTTATATTTCTTTAGGAAACTGCCTAGAGCGTCACGTTGCGGTGGTTCAGAAAATTGTATCTGTAAATAACAAATAAATTATAACTCAGGAAAATTCACACTACGATATCTAATCCCAAGCTAACCAGTGCTTTGTATTTCAAATACTTAAATAAATTTCTGTTTTTTTTCTTTCTAATACATATATAAATACACCCAGACCAATTCAAACAATCATACTTATGAATACACATGTATTTTTGACCGTACGAGGAATCGAAGCTTCGACGTGTACTATAGTGATTTAGCACACGTCGAAGCTTCGATTCCTCGTTCCTTCGTTCCTCATTAATCTAGGCTAACCTAATGCAATACAAATTTAATTCACCTTCTTTGTAGTGCCGTGGGAGGGACGTTGCTTAGGCTAAATGAGGTATCAATACTCAATAGTCCCAATTAAGGAATTAAACTGTTTCCAGATTTTAGACACAACATAAGACATCAGTGGTCCGATTTGACATAACCATCTGTTAGTTTGAAACATAGTTAATATTTCTGATTTCGCGGTATTACATTAGTGTCCAGTCTTATGTTTGAAGAAGAAGAAGGCGAGTCATTCATAGAATACATAATTCTATAAAAAATCTGTCATGTCACTATATGAGAAGTGTAACCGATGTGGTAGAATAAAAAAATTATAAATGCACGAGACTAAATCGAGTAATCGATCTCGTCACCGATGTCGATTCTCAATTTTTCTACAACTAATTTCTCAGTCAACGTGATAAGCTCGTCTGGTACCGCTTGCCATACCTACATAAGACAATTAACATTATACAAATAATTGTATCCATATATCTGAACTCTATATGCCGAAACCCTATGACAATATCAATAAAGCTGAAGTACTTGCCGATCCATTAATCCATACTGAACGGATCCCGTAACCGCAACGTTCATATGAGTGGTATTTGTATGCCACTGCAATATGAAAAGCTGACGGTTCAGCCGATGGAAAGCTATATACTGATCTAAATTTTTTTTTATTACGAACATATTTTCCGTAGAATGTTACTAAGTTTCATGAGAACATTATCGCTGTTTGAGATGTTACATTATTTTGTTTACGCGCTCTGTGAAGTTGATATTAAATAGGTATTTTTTTATTCAACTGCAATGACAACACGGTCCACTGTTGTCTTTACATTACGACGAATTTAACACGCGTCGCCACGTGAACGGCACCACAGTAGTGTTGCCAACCACAAATTTGAAAAATAAGCACCATCATCCTATTATTCTCCACTGGTAACTGACCATGTGTACTGTTATCGTAGGCAGATGCATTTCATCGTCATTCACTACAAGAAAAATTCTCCTCAAACGTTGCTCTTCCTGACGTCAAAGATGTTAGGTTTCCATACCTTGTAATGTCATTGTTTTATCTAATGACGGCCTCGATGGTCTAGCAGTTTAGCACACTGCTTTACCTCCGATGTTAGCGGGTTCAATTCCTCGCACGGTTCAACATTTGTATTCAGGAGTATGATTGTTTGTATCGTTCTAGGTGTTTTCTACGTACAATAAGTATTAAAAAAATCAAAGTATTTATATCAGATGTGTAGTACCCATAACACAAGGTCTGTTTAACTTGGGAGGAGATGATGTGAATCGTCTAGATATATTGTATCTGCTTAACGACTGAATGGTGAGTTGAGACAGAGATACCCACGCAAACAACTTTAGACAAATTCTACATCGCTAAAAATCTTAGAAAAAGTAAAATTTTGGTACTTATATTTTGATTAATGAACTAAATTTCTCAACATTCAGCTGATTACTATAACAGTCTTACCTCTACTCGCACATTGACCCGAATTGATTAAATTAAGAAAAGAATTACATTTTAGATAAAGATTTTTTATTATACATACCTTGATCATCATACGCTGCAATTCCTCATGTACAGCTTGCTGCAGTTGTGGTTTCAACTCGAGATCTTTTGGTTTCGGTTGCGGGGTCTCTGAAGGCTTCTCCACTGTTGTACGTTCTGGTAATATAACATTTGGGCATTAATTCAAAATTAATTATCATGAGTTATTCTAGAGAATTGTGTTCGGAGAAGGCAATAAAACTCAGCTCCGATGTATAAAGTTTAAAACGATATTTTAAAATATAATTATTTGTTAAATGTGTAAGTTAAATATTAAATTAAATTAATTAGAATAATTGTTAAAAAATGCATTATTTTGATTTAAAAACTAAACTATTGATTTTCATCAATGACGACCTCGGTGGTCTAGCGGTCTAGCACTCCGCTTTACGACCGATGGTCGCGGCTTCCTCGCACGGCACAAACATTTGTATTCATGAGTATGATTGTTTGTATCGGTCTGGGTATTTTCTATGTATGATATGTATGTATTTACGAAAAAAAAAAATTATCTATGTATTTGTATCAGTTATCTAGTATCCATAGTAGTCGAGTTAAGCTAGCTAAAGCTACACAAGCTTTAGCTAGCTTAACTCGACTACTTACTTACAACTTACAACTTGAGTCTAGAT